TATAAAATCAGGTGATTTAAGAGCCTACTTCTAGAGCTTTCTAGCTAAGTATAAAGGTATTAATATTAATATTAGCAATAAAAAAGATCACGCTTTACCATATACTAAAGTTAAAGATAATAATAAATTTAGAAGCAAAAATAATATATTCTTCACTAAATTTAGATAGATTAATAGCACTAAAATAATATCTATACTTGCTAACTAGTCTATAATACATATTATAACATGAAAGGATACCTTTCTTACTAAAAAGCTTTATGAGCCTATCTTAATAAGCCTAGAAGATAGTATCACAGATATATTTTCATTTAAAGGGTAATACTCTATAAATAGCTTCTAGGGCATTATGCTAGATAGTAGGGCAGTAGGCGTATCTACTACAGGAAGACGCTAGTTCCTAGCCCTATAAAAGCTCCTTCTAGATATCTAAATTAATATAAATACAGCTAGATATTATATAATCCGTTTTAGGAAAGGAATAGCTAAATCCCTAGGGATAGTCACGGTTCTAATGCTTATAGGGGAAATCATCTTCTACGTGGTGCCTATTAATACGCCGTTTTTATACTACATCTAGGATATAGATTGCATAAATATTAAATTAGATAACCTTAAAAACATTCTAATTTAAGGTAATATAACCATTCTAGTTATCTGCAAATAGGGCCATCCGTGGATGCTTCTTAACCATCTAGAAAAGATAGTTGCCTAGAGCTATCTTATAGAGATAGAGCTTTAATAATTGCATTAATAATTTAGATACCTATTAATTTAATAATTAGTAAAAGTATTAGATTAAGCTAGATTTAATCTAGATAGTAAAGTAGTCCGCAAGCTTATAGAGAGCTACCACTAATATTAGAAGCATTAGAAGTCACTAGGACGATTTAGATTTAAGCTTTATAATAAGTATAACTTTAACTATAAAGTTTCTATTAATATACTATAAGTTAATGTAAAGCCTACGTTATAGGTCGTTAATACTTCCACAGGCTTCTAAGCCGCCTGATTTCTAGTAGACATGTCCACTTAATATATATGAGATATATTATAAGAATGCTAGATTAATACATATTAAGGTCCACCTAATATTATAGTCTATAATATAAGGAAGAATTTTGCTTTAGCTGAATTTAGATATAATATAAAGGTAATAGCAATCTAAGTTAAAGAGGTTCCTATAGAAGCCTATAATAGTATCAGGAAAGTAGAGCGATATTATACCTCTCTATAATAAGCATATAAGATCCTAAAGGACGAATTGCAGAATTTAGTCCCTTAAGACGTAATACTATAGATGGCTATAAAGGCTATAAATGACTTAGCAGGTCCTAATAGTCTTATGCCTATACTACTAGTATTTAGGGCATACCCTAGAATAATAGAGGATTTGCCTCTATCCCTAAATATTATTAGAAGAGTAGAGGCTATTACTAAGGCAACTAGCAAGGTATATCAAATTTATATAAAACGATAAGTAATTAATATATTAGGCATGCAGAATAGACTAGATATATCTGCAACGCTAGACCTCCTAATTTAGTTAGATGTAAGAGTATTTAGAGAAGGTAAAGGATAGGACGGACCGTATAAATTAATTATAATAGAGGATAAAGCATGCGTTATCTAGATGCTATATAGCTCTATAAAGTTTAGAACTATAGTTGTAAGGCTATATATAATAGACGATACGCCTGGATTTAATAATACTATTACTTAAAGTAATAATATACCACCTAATAAGGATACTATTTATATTAAAGAAGAGCTAAGACCTTAGTATCATATGCGCTCTAAGAAGAGGGGTTATAGATGTCTAAAGGGTTTAAAGAATAAGTAAAGATAATCCTAATCTATAGATGCACTAATCTAATATTATAGCTAAATTAATAAAAATAGTAATAAGGTAATAATAGTATATATCATATAAAAGAAGAAGGCAGATCTTAAGCTTTTACTAAAGCTTTAATAAGAAGGGAAGATTATAACTCTAGAAGAACCATTTAAGGCATCAGATAATAAAGAGATTAATAGACTAAATAGTTAAGGCGTCTTTAAATTTAAAATCTATAATAAGAGGATCTATAGTAATATCCGACTATTTAATTTATAATTTGTCTATAAAGTTAAAGGGAAGATAATAGATGCCCCTTTTAAGAAATCTAGACTAGTTATCTAAGCATATAATAATATAAGAAAGGAGATAATTTTAATATAATCCCTAATAATCTAAAGAGCTAGCTAGCAAATTATTATTACTCTAGCTCTATTATTAATAAAGCTAAAAGATAGACAAGTAATGTTTCTATACCTTTACAATATTATATAGGCATATACATAGTCTATATTAAGACTTGCCTGAAAGATCTTTATAAAGCTCCTAAAGCAGCTTATAGATAAGTTCCCCTAAGGGATAATTATACGAGTTATTTAACTACTATATAGTATTATAAAAGCGGGGATATATTAGTTTCTAATCTACTTCTAATACTATAGGGATAAGCTCCTAATAAGGACTTTAACTTATAATCCATGCCTTCTTATAAGCAGATTAGGATAAGGATTTAGAATAGTAGAGATATAGATAGATAATACCCTTATCCTAGTAGACGACTAATTTGCAAAGATAGAGGAAGATAAGCTTATAAAAGTAAACTTTAGAGCAAAGCTAAAAGAGAAGCTAATAGAATCCTCCCCTCTTATTTTTAATAGATGCATATTAACTCTTAAGAGTAAAAACATCTATATATGCTAAAAGGATTAAGGAAAGAAGCTTAAGCTAATTAATATTAAAGCTAATAACTATAAGTAGGCATACTTATAATAGCGAGCTTAAGGAGCCTATATTACATTAATCTGCTAGCCTAAAGTAGCATTTAATCTATTAATTGCAGCATAATACTATAACCTAGATAAGGAGGACATAATAGTAATAAATAAGTATATTAAGTGGCAAATAGATAATTTAGATAGAGGACTATGCTATACCCCTCTATAGATAGTAGATGCTAAGCTATTTATCTTTATTAATAGTTTATTAGCTAATAATAAAGACCTTAGCTCCTAACTAGGTTATATTATTATACTTGCAAATAAATCCATAGGATCTACTAATACTAAATTTATTATAAATAGTAATATCCTCTACTAGAGCTTGATAAAGAGTAAACGTATTATAAGAAGCAGTCTTATATCTAAGATTTATAGTATAGTTAGAGGTATAGATATAGGTATTATAATAGTATCAATGCTAAAGAGAGTATTAGAATAGCTAAAGATAATAAAGATCCCTATAATTATCTATACGGATTTATACTCCCTCTATAAGTATCTTATAAAGCTAGGAACTATAAGAGAGAAGCGCCTTATAATTAATATTATAGCCCTTTAAGAGTCCTATAAAGATAGAGAATTATTAGAGGTATAATAGATTAATAGAAAAGATAATCCTATAGATATAATAATAAAGATAAACCTAAATAGAGCCCTCTAAATACTTATTAATATAAATAGTATTACAATTTAGATAGAGGGATAGGTAGAGAGGGATAATAAGATAGCGGATTTAGTCTAACTATATTTGGTTTTTCCTATAAAGCGCCTTAAAGCAATTCCAGTTTAGCAATTTAGAATAATCTAAGGATCTATCTCTTATTAGTTCCCTTATTAGTTTCTTATTTATTTAGAACTCTCTTATTAGTTAATTAGATCTTTAGCTATATTAATATATTTATTTTTAGCTGTATTAATAATTTTTTATTTAGTTATAATATATATTAATAGTAATATATATATTAGGGTGGCAAGATCTATATTATAATAGCAAATAGCAGATAAGGAGGATTATAGATTATAGTAGGAAATCACGCTATAGTAGAAGGAAAGATAGACCTAGTTATAAAAGAGAGAACTATCTATATTAGGATATATAACCCGCCCTAGGATCCTCCCTAACCTTTCTAGTTATATAATCTAGCTTATATGACTTAGCTTAGTTAGCAAAGAGGCATAACCTCTTCATCTCTATAACACCACCTAAATGCTAAGCATTAATCAACCAGTATTAAGTCTATACTACGTAGTAGAGAAGTGATCACGTTCTAATGTATCACCGCCTGTGATACCAACAGGTAGTGTTTAAACCACCTATTCCTAACGCATCGATGATGAATGTCCACCCACTATGAGATATTACCCATCCTATTCCGCCCTGAACCTCATATCAACTACTCAACAGTGATAAATCAAATCAGATCATCTTCTCCACTAACGAAAATTCTTGGCGTTTTTGTGATGCCTGAACTTTGGAAAACTATCATTCGTCAAGAAACAAATGAACCGAATTTATCATCACAATCACTACTTCTACTAAGTTCCTCCTACCCAAAACACCATACAGTACTCCCTCCCGCCACTCCCACTTGAAGAAGTCAATTCATAACCCCACATCACTTCAGGTCTAGCAAGAAACGCATGCATATAAGACAACAAATTGGATACCCAAAAATACACACTTTTCTTCCCATCTCAAACCCTATCCCCATCCCAAAGAACCAAAATACTAAACCCCAAAACCGAGCAAATTACAGCCCAACTATCTTTTCCTAACGCAACGCCAACAAGGCCGCAAAATACTCTATAGGAGACAAAGATGACCAAAAAGAGGCTTCCTTTAAAGCTTTAAAGCAAGACTGAATAGAAATCCTACTTGGAATTTGGAAAAGGCTATCCATCTATTTATCTATCTATCCACACACCTTAAACACCCAAAACCTCACATAAGTCAAATTCTCCCAAGCAAGGTTAATCAAAAGAAATCTCATTGTGTGAAGTTTATGGTATCTCAAATCATATATGCCGACCAAGCCAAACTTAAACCCAAACTGAAGCATCCCTCCATCCATGCAGACAATCTCGCTCTACCCAGAAAACAAAAACGCCATCCCACCCAAATATCCAAACCCCGAATCTCTTATATGTACCTGTCCTCCCATATATCAAACTCGCTGAGAAGCGAAATCAAGCACTTCACAATCATCCTCGAAAAAGCCCTCCTCATCCACACCGTCAGCTTCCTTGCTCACTCCCTTGCGTCTGCGCGTCGTCACAACGATTTGCTCCTGATCCTCAATGTTGTCTTTTACACTGAGGATGCGTTCTATGGCGGACGTTGGGAGGGCGCGGTGGTCGGTCGGGGAGTCGAAGTCTTCGTCTAGTGTGTGGACCGGCCCAACGTCGAGCTTGGTGGTTTTGATGGGGCCGCCAAATGCCCATGGTGCGTTTGTAGTGGGTTTTGATGCTGATGCTGCTGCTGCTGAAGCTTTGGGCAGAGGCGAGAGCAGAATTGAGACTGAAGGCGAAGAAAATGGAGCTTCGTCATGGGAATATACGTGTAAGCCTACTCGTCTATCAGTGTGAAATGGTTGGTACGGCGCATTGGACTCGATTTCTGCTTGAGGAATTGATGACTCCGTTCCATGCTGGCGAGGAGTATTCTGAGATTTCCAATGAGTGTCTTCGACGTCTCGCTCCGTAAGCTCAAGGTCACCTGCCTGGTTCAAGTCTCGCAACATTTCTGGTACGACTTTGGGGTTTGGCAGTGACGGAGCTCGGAATTCGATGAACTTTGCTCCTCGAGAAGCCTTCTGCTTATCTGCAGGTCGGTCTGCTCTCCGATTCTTAATCGTATAGAATCTGACAATCCCTCCGCCGACGACAATAACATAATCACTTCTCTTGCGATCCAAGAGTAGGATACAGCCACGACTCGGAATAACTGTGCTACTTGGGAGATGCACCTTGTTACTTGCTGATTTTCGCATCTCATTCATCCTCCCAGTAGCAGCTCCAACGGATCGGCTGATACCTGCAGCTAGAACCTGAGTTCCATGTCCTGCTTGCGCCGTCATCGTCTTGGCAGAAATTCCTGTGCTACTTCGACGACGACGGCTCACTAAAGGCATTGCAGCAGTCCAAAGGGAGTTCACGGCATTCGTTGCTACACCAGAAGCCGTAATAACTGGCCCAGCAGGCTCGCTAATGGATTCAGCGGGTTGAGTTACGGCAACCCTCCGACGCGGCGGTGGCCAGGCGAAAGCGCTCGCAGGTAAATCAAGGACATGAACCGTTCCAGGTTCAGTGACCATTGCAGCACGCTCACCATGCGGCGAAGTCCATACGACATCCACAATTCTGGCGATCGTCATTCGCGAGAACTGGGCAATTTGCCTTACATGGGGCCCTTTGCTTTCAGATCCTTGGAATCCATTTTTCAGAAAAGAAGACTTCGCATATTGCAGCTTCATGAGATCCCAAACAGATTGTATATCACCTTTACTACTTGCCGTGAAAAGCGCTAGACCACTAGGAGCGAAAGACAAAAAGCTACACCCATGAGGGATCTTGAATGTCGCAAGCGGATGAGGCGAAGAAGCAGATGCGCTGTGATGAGCTAGAGAGTCCAAGTCTAGAATAGACACCAACCCAGGATCTTTGGCAACTGCTGGTGCCTGGGTAGGAACGCCGTGGGTAGGTGGGAATTGGTGTCCCAAATTCTGGGCCTGATACGTGATGGGCCCGTTTGCAGGTTGATTTTGAGTAGACCTATTCCAATAATGATTCCAGACCTGTGCACCTTGCTTCCCGATTTGTTTTCCGATGTATGTTGAGCCTTCGATGAACTTCTGCGTCCCAGCTTGCATAATTTGCTTTACCATGCTTTCACCCCCTGGAGTCTCCACTAAGCAGTTTACAGATGGTAACTGTGGTGGAGCGTGTGAATACAGACCTGGAACCCTGGCTGCGGGTGGAATTCCTGGAACTGTAGCACGCAAAGACGCCTGAGAAGATGGGGCTGAAGGACAATAGGCGAGCCATCGACCGTTCAGGGATAAGATGGACGCCTTGTACTGCTTTCGTTCCACAGTTTCCGTCGAGTACCAGTCGCCATCAGCCAGGCCGTTCAGACCAGTCGAATCAACAGAGACCCCGTGTTGAACAGCAGTCCAGACTTTACCAATGCACCTGAAATCTCCTAAGGCAGTAGGATGGACAGCATTCCTGCAAAAAATCCAGGTCTCTCCCGTTGAGCCAGATGCCACCACAACATTACCTCCATCAGCACGAATAGTGAGTGCTCCTGATGGAGGGGGTGCCTTGAACAATGGACTCGTGGTTGGTATTGGAAGAAGGGTTTTAGGAACCGAGAGCAAAGTCCCTATATGTTGTTTTGTGCCAAGAGAATATACTTCGACAGTTGTCTGATAATACTCAATCAAGTCGACGTCTTGAATTGATGCGCCGGGAATCCGAGGTGATCCTCGAGCACTTTCGTTTTGAATGGCAGAATTGCCATCTGACGAGGGGCCAGCCTCATCGCTACTCGATGTATCAGTCGACCAGACGGGACCATGCACGACGAGAGCAATCAAAGAATGTGGCTGATGATTCTTTCCAGGAACACTCCAAGGTAGGATTTTGGCGTTGTATACACCACCGCGAAGTCCATCGAGGGTAGTAATTTTATTGAGGCCCCGCTTGGTAACAGAATATATGTTTATTCCGCCTTCATACCCAGTTATCAGAACTTTCTCTGTGTGCTTTGATGAATCTTGAGATGTCACGCTGTCGAATCCGCAATAATAACCGCTCTCTCCAGGAACAAGACCAGGCCCAGGGGGAGAAAGTAGGAGATTCGCATCAGGTGCTCCATAGAAATGAGCTTGGGCTTGATGGGGGAGTGGTGGAGCGTGTGGATAACGCTGGGGTGGTGAATACATCGAGCTTCGACGGGGAGCGTAAGAAGATACTTGCGATCTATGCTCATCAGCAACGTGTGGAAAGTTGCTATCCATTTGATAGCTTAAAGGTCTACGCCGATTTGAAGGGGGAGACGATGATGCCACATGGCCATTAGCTAACCCTCTTTGTTCTCTTGTTGTCCATCCGAAACTAGCAAGCCTCTCCTCATAAGAAGATGGCAAAGTCGGTGGTGACTCCCCGAGGTTTATCAAATTGCTAGGGGAGCTGGAATAAGATGGAACGTTCTTTGCCCACTCATTTGTGTTCTGCGACGCCGACTGGGTGATCGCGGCCGATGATAGGGCGTCCAATAAAGGAGACGTTACAGGATTTCCATTTCCATTTCCATTTCCATTGCCGTTTCCATTGCCGTTTGCTTGGGATACTACTGGCTTCATCTCGGGGGATTGAACGGGGATCGCAGATGCAGATGCTTTTGCATTCTTGTTCCTATGAAATGGTTGTGTTATTAGCAATCAGCTTGCCCGAGCAGTTAGACGGCCAGTCAGACTACTGTATTGTGAATCAAATACGCACGACATTTTGACAGCATTTTTCGTCACTGCTGCCAGTATCCCGCCGCTGCCAGTATCCTTCTCCTTCCCATTCTTCTTCCAGTTCTTTGTAGAGACCGGCACTCCAGATGGGGAGGCCTTCTGAGTCAGCTTGCTTGGCTGGTTGCTCCCGCCCGAAGTGTTGTTGTTATCTTGGTCGGACGAGGGGGGCATTCAAATGGCGATGGAGGATCCCTTCGCTCCCTTGGATACTCGATAGGTATTCCAAGGTGCGGGAATCTTGAGAGACGGTCGCAGGGCGATCGGAGGAGTGGGCGCTTGTCCCGCTTGCTTCCTGAACAGCTAGAATTCAGGAGGGGCGGGGCAGGCGGACCGTGAGATGTGTTGGTGCAAATACTGGGATTTGTATCGAGGGTGTAGAGAATGTGCGGATTATATTCTGTCTAGTCTGCGTTTTGTCTTGAGAAGCTGCAGTGCTTCCCTTTGTTCAGAGCTTCTCGGTGTTTGTGAGAGAGGCGGAGGGGAGTGGAGGGGAGAGGTTACGATAGAGGGGCAGATGCTTGTCCGGATGCATCCATATTTAGCGTCGCTGGTCTAGGTACACCCCTGATTCGCTGATCCGGATGATGGGGGTGGACGAGAAAGACACAAATGACCGGGATTTACGATTATATGCACCTGCATCTGCACCCAGGGCAGGAACGCATACGATTGAATAACAAGGCAAGTTAAGTCAGGGACAGGAAGAGTCTTTGTTGCACAGTCTCGTGCGGTGAGGACCGAGTAATGTGACTCGGCAAGAGAAACGATTCGCTACTACAGTACCTGGCCTGGCCATGCCATTGATCATGAGAGCGCGCGCAACGCGTCAGGTGTCTAAGAGCATGCGTTCCACCAGGAATGTCAATTTTACTGCTGCTTGTGATGGAGAGATGGAAGGAAGGATATAAAACATTCTGGTAACAAGCACCGTGGAGATTGTCGCAAATTCTTCAGCCCAATTTGCGAAACGAGATGAACGGATTTTGTACATTGCTCCGAATTGCTGAGGCTTTTGGAAGACATTGGGGTATATTACACAAATTCTCCGTCAAATCCACAGTCCACGAACGTTCCATATCAATGGCCCCGGCCCGGCTCTTCCAAAGGGTCGTAGCTTTCTCAAATTATTTGCACTTTGCGCGCCCAAATGATTCCCCCTTAATGAGACTGCGAATGCTGCCTCCAAGCTGAGACCTTACGCCTTCTTCTTTCCGGCGGCCTTTGCCTTTGCTACTCTCTTCCTGTTGCTTCGAATCATGACTACGCTCAAGAATGATCCCACAACGGCCGAGGCCAAGAGGATAAGAATGACGGGGATGCGAATAGCCCAAACTCGAGGAGGGAAGACGTTCTGGAGAGGATGGTCCGAGTCGACGAAGGGCTGCACAATGCGAATTAGTCTCTGGCCATCACGCAAGGCAGATCAACGGATCATATGTACCATGAGAAGAGTCCAAATAGTATAGTATAGAAATACAACAGACGCAGCGACGAGCATCGCGAGACCGACAAGTTTGTCCAGCTGTAAGATGAAGATGTTAGAACTTGTTGTGCACCACCACCACCTAATCGCATAAACATGAGGTTTTCCATACCATTGTGGCAATCAAAATCAAAGGAGTGTGGTGATTCAGAACCAAGTGACTGAAACTTGGATTTGCTGGGGTGGTGATGGAAGCTTCAAAGTTGCAAATAATTATTCTGATGGATATTACGATCTGGCTTGACCTGGACTTTCTGTACGGTATCCTGGTCAAACTCTAATTTAGCGGTATTATTAGCGTGGTCGGGCCAAAACCAAATTCATCGTATCGCCAACGCCGTCGTGACTGACGAGAATCGTCCATCAGCCTCACAACCTCAACCTCCCCCCCATCGAATAGCCAGGCAGTACAATCTCCGTTCGCGATCGGATATTTGGGTATAGGCTGCTTCTAGAGGGCCCAAAGCAGTGGTGGGCAGGCCTACAAAGGTCGGCAATCTCGAGACAGTTGCTACTCGAGAGCCTCCCTGGAAATTCTCTTGCACCTCGACATCGCGAACACGAAAAGACCATGGAGGTCGAACCACCAGTGGCATCCGTTGAGAGGGACTTTGAGGAGAGACCCAGCCGCAGAGCTCCTTCTCCACGACGTGATCGGAATGGCCCCACCTCATCGAGCAAACAGTCTGCCCCGCGAGGTCGAGACACAGCTGTCGCGAAGCCTAAAACCGAAGAAGAGAAGCAGGCGATCGCGAAGGCTGAATATGAGAAACTCCTGACTATGCGCTCTGGCGGAACTTATATACCACCGGCGCGATTACGGGCGCTGCAGTCTCAGATCACCGACAAAACCAGCAAGGAATACCAGCGCATGGCCTGGGAAGCTTTGAAGAAGTCCATAAACGGTCTCATCAACAAGGTCAACGTATCAAATATCAAGCATATTGTACCTGAGCTTTTCGGTGAGAACTTAGTCAGAGGGCGGGGTCTATTTTGCAGAAGCATCATGAAAGCCCAAGCAGCAAGTTTGCCTTTCACTCCTATCTATGCAGCCATGGCAGCTATTGTGAACACCAAACTCCCCCAGGTTGGAGAGCTCCTTCTCAAGCGCCTCATCAATCAATTCAAAAAGGGTTTCAAGAGAAACGACAAGGCTGTCTGCCTTTCTGCCACCACCTTCATCGCTCATTTGTGCAACCAGCAAGTAGCAAACGAGGTTATCGCAGCCCAAATGCTTCTGCTTCTTCTTCATAAGCCAACTGATGACAGTGTGGAGATCGCAGTGGGTCTGACCCGAGAAGTTGGACAGCATTTGGAGGAAATGAACAAGCAAATTGCCCTTGCCGTGTTTGACCAGTTCAGGAATATATTGCACGAGGCCGATATTGACAAGCGGGTGCAGTACATGATTGAGGTTCTTTTCCAGGTTCGGAAGGATCAGTACAAGGACAATCCAGCGGTTAAGGAGGAACTTGACTTGGTGGAGGAGGAGGACCAGATCACGCATACAATTTCTTTGGATGACGAGATCGACGTCCAAGATGGCTTGAACATTTTCAAATTCGACGCAGAATGGGAAGAACACGAAGAAGCATACCGACGCCTGAAGGCGGATATCCTTGGGGAGGGTAGTGATGACGAGGACGACGAGGACGAAAGTGATGATAGCGAAGGTGACGAGGAGAAACAGGAGGAGAAGGCCCTGGAGATCAAGGATCAGAGCAATACAGATCTTGTGAATCTCAGAAGGATTATTTATTTGACAATAATGTCCAGTATCGACCCAGAGGAATGTTGCCATAAGTTGATGAAGGTCAAGCTACCGGCTGGCCAGGAACCAGAGCTTCCGTCTATGATCATTGAATGTTGTTCTCAAGAGAAAACCTACTCTAAGTTTTATGGCCTCATTGGAGAGCGATTCGCGAAGATCAATCGCCTTTGGACCGAACTTTTTGAACAGTCGTTCGCCAAATACTACGACACCATCCATCGATACGAAACAAACAGACTTAGAAACATCGCTCGCTTCTTCGGCCATCTCATTAGCTCCAATGCTATTGGCTGGCATGTATTATCAGTTGTTCATCTCAACGAGGAGGAAACCACGTCGAGTAGCCGTATCTTCATCAAGATTCTTTTCCAGGATTTGTCTGAAGCAATGGGGATGCCGAAGTTGCAACTCCGTCTTAAAGATGCCGAATTGCGGCCGTTTCTTGGGGGTCTATTTCCTCATGACAATCCACGCAACACGAGGTTTTCCATCAACTATTTCACCAGTATCGGCATGGGCGCAGTTACCGAGGAGATGCGAGCATATCTTCAAAACCTACCTAAACCTGCCTTGCCTGCTCCACCTGCCGCAGCTGATGACGATTCAGATTCAGGCAGTTCAGTGTCTAGTTACTCGTCTTACACCGGATCCTCTTACTCCAGATCCCGATCGCGCTCAGGTTCGCGTTCGCCGTCTCGCACCCGTGCTCCAGATCGCGGACGCTCGATCTCCAGAACTCCCCCAAGAGGCAAAGGAAAAGAGAAGGCCAGAGGTCGGAGTTTGACCAGGTCCATCACAAGGTCTCTTACCCCGCCTCGTCGTACCACAAGGCGTGAATCGACTTCAGTTACTCCTCCACGCAGAGGACGACGAGATTCTAGCTATTCAAGATCACCGCCCCCAAGACGGGACACTCGTCGGGCTAGCTACTCTGTCACACCTCCTGTGAAGCGAGAGAGAGCGGTGAGCGATTCAAGATCCCCACCTCGCAAACGTAGGAATACCTCATCTGTCAGCGCAGCTCCTCGAAGACGTCAAAATGTCAGCGTTTCAAGATCGCCGGCCCCACGCAGAGCCGCCAGAAGAGATAGTTATTCCATTACCCCACCAAGAAAAGGGCGCCGGGACGATAGTGATTCGAGATCACCTCCTCCAAGACGCGGGGCTCGGCGGGACGGTCGGTCAATTTCGCCGGCCGTGAAGAGGAGAAGGGATTACAGCGATTCAGCTTCCCCACCCCCAAAGCGAGGCAGGAGATACAGTTAGTGGAGGGAACCATGCCGCCGGGACACAATTTGTAATTTATAGCAAGGCAAGGCAGGCATCAGCCGGATCTGCAATTGGGTCCCCCCCAAGAGGGCCTGATCTTGGTTGTAGGGAATAGAATGACATGCATCTTCCACACCACACAAAATCAATGATGGTCATTTTCCGCTGACTACCTTTGAAGCCATACTTAATTAGGCAATGCAATGTATTCTTACGGGAAGACTAGATTCCGGGGAGTCATGTGATTGATGTAGTACTAACCGTTTCATCAGCATCAGCCCTCATGTCGGACGGGAGACTTTTCCAGGGGTAGCAAAGAATGACTGGCTAAGAAGATGCAGAAGATACGAAGGAATAAATGTGTAAGTCCCACGAACTCGCCAATGAGGTTTAGCTTCATCGATTACCACATTAGGAAATGGTTGAGTACGCGCTCGTGTGGAGTGAGTTTCGGTCATTCGGATAGGTATTGACTGTACTTGTACTGTACTTGCTGTTCGGGCATGTTCCGTCCTATCGAATAGTACACACACGTACCCGTACCGTACCGTACCACATACCGCATACGCACTAGGGGTGGGGCTAGGTATCTGCGCGGGAGGTCGAGTAGAGGTCTGAAAGTTGAAGCTGCTTACATATGTGATTCCGCGAATTGTCTCTCCGCCCAGACAGCCCTGTAATCGGCTGAAGAAGATCGGCTGTTTTATACGGTTGCTATATGTTCATGTTTGTTGGTCCATGGATATAAGGTTTTATATAAATTACGTACAGTAGCTCGAGTAGGTATAAGTTACGAGTACGACCCATAGGCTGTAAGCTGTAGCCCTCCGTATAGACAACAGACAAATGGACACCGTCAGCATCAGTTCGGCGATGCTGATTTGACAGTGCAGACCTTGGCCTTGCACGTCGTCAGCTAAGCCGATCAGCTAGTTAGATATACCTCCGACAGTCCGAGAGAGGTGCCATCAGAGGATGTTGGGCATGACAAAGATATATCTAAAATTGGGGCAAGATGCGCCTAAGCCTTCTTGGGCCTCGATGCCACTGAGTAAGCCTGGCTTCTGGATGACCAAACTGTATGGGGCGACGATCACACGCCAATGATGGCATCCATTTCCAACAATCTGAGCCATATGGATATTAAATGGGACTGACGGCTCGCAGACAAGCTGACTGTCTGTCTGTGTCAGCCAACCTTTTCTCTGACCCCTACGCCTACCATACAGTACCCATACCATTCATCCCAGAAATCCCCCCTTTCCCCTTTGGAGACGTGGAGGTCATACACGAATGATGTTCTAGGGCTCGGAGTTTAAGCAATGTGCCGGTACTCGACAGGAGATCTCGTTGCAACATGCCTGGCCTGAAGAAAGTCGTCCGTACAAAGTTGTAGCTTGAGTGAGTCGATTCTAATCAAAGGACTGTCTGTGCCTCTGCACCACCCGCCCTGACCCGAGTTTGTGGAATCATGTAAGTAAATTTGATCGCGTACTTCAGCATCTATCTTTCTTTCTCTCTCTCTCTCTCTCACACACACACACACACTCATACAAGCCAAGTTATACTTACCCATTGCGAGCACAGAGCTCCATGCCCTTCTGACGGCCGCCACCTCACCCGAGAATACTCGAATTTGTCACGCGATACAGACCGAATGGACGGGCCTAGTCGACACGTTCGTAGTACGATATAGGCAACCGCAGCGTGGTGATGGAGGTTCAAGTGAGAGAGGACTCGCAGAGACGGTCGAGCATCAAACGTCCTTGGGATGAAGACACGGCATTGGCAGGAAAGAGCAATGGATGGCATGGCGCGCTATTACCCCCAATCGACGACGTACCTTACCATAGACCGCAGGCACCGCAGAGGGCGGAACCACCTATACCAACTTTACACAACGGATATGACCGAGAATCAACGGAACATGGTCCCAAGAGACCGAGATGGACTCAGAACAACCTTCCTAGTGAAGCATATGCCCTGAATGGCACGTCGACCCATTATTCGCGGCCGCCAGCTCGTAGGTCCAAAGGCCTCCCACGCACAAAACAGATTACTAACCTTCATCCCGCGTTTTAGACCCCATATCCAGTCACAGTAGCTCAAGCCAAGCGCCATTGGGATCACCAAGTCTGCGCCACAAGCAGGCGTGGGAGGCATTCGACCGACAATGTAGAGAACCTGTGCGGCCTCTGGCTGCTCATGAGACTACCGATCTATGTCAAAGATGCAGGAGAATGCTCAATAGCCCAGATCCAGATTCAATGGGAACCTGTGAGGACTGCAAGAGGAATCCCGAGCTAATCCATCTCACCAAAGAAGCTGCGGCAGGCCTTACCCAGCTAGTGGAGACCCTTAGTTCAGGGATCGCATCCGATCAGAGGGATGTCATTCGTGTGAGTTAGCTAAGCTACACCACAACATTCCCATTATTTCTCTAAGTGCATTTGCTAAGGTTGAGATCATAGGAGCGTCTTGAGCAGCGTGAAGATGGAACTCCAGAATGTCCTCCTCTGGCTCAATTTGGCTTAAATCAGACTTTGCATTGGATTTTATCAAGGATCAATCACGTCAACAGCCTCGCCGACAAACTAGTACAGCATGTTCCCCCAGGCTCTTTACCGAAGCCTCAGAACGAGTTGTTAAGAAATGGCAATTACCGTTCAGAAAGTCTCCCTGATATAATGAAACGACGAGTCGATTCCGAGCCGGACAATGGGTATAGGCCGAGACCCGACGCTCCTGAACCTCCGTCGGAAGATCTTAGAAGAAGGTCTGTAAACAGAGAAGATTTACCGTCTATTAGATCCCAATACGATTACCATGGGGTAGACAGCCCTAGCCGAAGGAACATTATGAATCCTCCCCCTGCACCAGCAATCAACCGCCAATTACCATCTCCACCCGGTCGATCTCTTTCATCACCTACATCTATCAACTTCCCATCCCCTTCAGCAGCAGCCTCATACGGGAGCACACCACAACCAGTCAACCTTCCACCTCCTTCAAGTCTACACCAATCGACTCTGGGCGGCTATCTATCACAGACCGGCTCTGGACAATCCCCAGAAAGTGCGCTACAGGCTCATACCGCCGCTCTCCAACATGAGGTGTCGGTTCAGAAAATTGCATTCTCGTCCCTACAAGGCGAGCACGACAAACTTCTCGCTGCCTACTCACGATCTCAAACGCGGGCTAGTGCGTTAGAGAAGAAGCATAACGTATCCGATGCAGAGATAATAAACCTGACCGAGGACAAGCTGAGACTGCAAGCGCAAGTCATTGAGCTAGAGCGAGAGGTGGAAGACTTAACACGGAGCAGGGACCAGTCTAGGCAATCTGCGGTTCAAGAAGGAGCACAATATGTCGAGATCGTCCGTCGGGCTAGTCAATTGGAGGCAAGGACCAGCGAAGAACGAAAGAGTTGGAACACATTAAAGGCAGAAATGGAAAAGAAGATCGAGGCACTGAACAGGAGTGGGTCGAAAGAAATCACTGGGTCTTCAAATCATACACCCAACTCGCCAATGGTGGATGTGATGGATACACCAGCGGCTCTACCAGAGCCACCACCCGTACTCAAAATCGAGCCGATGAGCGAACCTTCCTCGAGTCAGATTGAGAATCAACCTTCGAACGAAGTACCACCGCCACTCGTATCACGAAACCAAGAATCAGCAGAGGAACTCTCGACAGAAATCCAACGTCTCCAACGTCGCTGTATAGAAATGGAAGACGCGTTACGAACAGTCAGAGAAGAGAGTCGTTCCATGGAAGGAATTGTCAAAGCGCTCAGCCGTGCAGGGAAAACTATCACGGACAAAGCAAACCGCGCGCTGGACATAGAGTAGTCCATCAAGATAGATGCCTTACTCCGTACTTTTCTATTCTTGTGATTCTTTATTTATCTATTTATTACTGGATACAGAATGCGATGCGATGCGATGCATTTTGGCCCAAGTACGCAATTTGTACATTCATATCAATACGGCATGCATGGCGTTCCTTGTTTAAGGCGTTGGGTAGGATGGAATGGGATGGGAAGGGATGGGATGGGTAGTGCACATATATATCCCCAGCATACGCCGTACAGTATTTCTCTATCCTTGGATAGAACATGTTTGCTTCCCTTATCCATACAAGTCATATCATCTACATATGAAGCATATACACCATAAGTAAGATTTATAGTTCTAGTCTAATAATACAGAAAGACACGCACGCATGCATGCGTAACATACGAAAATATAAAACACGATTTCCAAGACCTTGCATTGATTCATTATTTATTTGTATGGAAAATTTTCGTTCTATTATATTCTATTCTATAGTGTATAGTATAGTGTTCGTTACATACATGTAACTTCTCGTCGTGAGCGCGTCGTAGAAGAATGGCATGGGATGGGATACAGTACTGTACTCCGTAGTTGCACGAGAAGTGCCTCCCAGCCTCCGTACGGAGTAACGTGAGTGAGTGATCTAGCCCCCACGCCCACTCTCACGCTCACTCTCACCCCACCATCCATCGCACGATGCATACAGTTCGTACATACCGTAGGCGGGTCCCGCGACGCCCGCAGCAGCAGCCCAGGCCCAGGAAGCTCAGACATATCTCAAACAAAGCGATGATCAAAAGTGGCATGATATCGCCGATTCGGTAGAGCAGAAACGTGGGTGCGGGGAGTGCTGAAACGGTTTTGCGGCACAGACAGGGGCTATCGGTAAAGAGATCATTCTTTTGGTTTTCTTCTCATGTCGTCGCCTTTCTTATTCTGTTGTTCATTAATTCTGTTTATCCTTTTTCCTGGGTTCTTCTTTTTTGGGGAAAGTCGTTGTATCTGTTGTTTTCGTTGCATGAAATCTGTTGAGCGGATTTGCACATTTTAAACGGGATTCGGACAGCGCTCTTTTCAATTCCCTCTCTACACACCCTCTACATACGCGCTAGAATCGACTCACTCACTCATCATCAAAATCAGCATCCAAAAAAATCCAACTCCCAAAAACAAACCACTCCAGCTACAGTATCCCAATCCCACGCCGCGGAAATGGGCCAAGCATTCAGCGGGCCCAACGCCTTTAAATTCTTCGGCTTTACGCCCGAGGCGACGGCAGTGCTGCAAAGGAGCCCGGTGCTGCTGGTGGCGCTCGTGGTGGTGCTGCTTAGTATGGTTGCGTTGGGTTTGCTGGCGTGGTATATTCATTTTGTGACGAATAAGGTTTATTACAAACCGAAGCCGAAGAAGGAGGTTAAGGGGGGAAAGAAATAGGTTGGATGGGATGGGGAAGGGAAAGGGACGAGGGGGTTGGATTAAAGGGGGGAGAGGGTGGAGTGAGATGGTGATACTTGGGAAGGAAAGGGGGAGTGGGGGATTGGAGGGATAAGGAGACAGTATTCGGGATGGATAGATCGATAGAGGAGTTTCCTGCGCAGAGCGTTATTGGGGTATTGGGTTTGGTATACATATATATACATACATACGGATCATCCAGTCGACGACATATCGGAGTCTAATTCAGCGAGCGAGAAAATGCATTACATTTCAACACAGATCGAAATATTCTCAAGGCACAAAGACAATTCATTTACAAGCCTTTTTCCTCATTGGTAGAGACTGGAATATTGGCTCGTTTTTTCTTTTCTTGAGTAGCGAAATTTAACGCTACGAGTATGTCTAGGGCATTGTCCCACGTTGAGTCGTTCTTTCTGCTTTCTCACTTCTTCGACAAGTCTGCTATCTCATTTTCCACCTTTCATCATTCAACTGCCTTCCTCTTGAGGAGCTTTCTCGTGCCTTCCCTTGGTTTTCCTTCGAGGAAGTCTTCGATTGAACGGGTGGTAACTGGCTCTAGATACTTGTCGTAATTCTTCCAATGCCATGGGCTTGTGGTATCTTCATCAGAGTAATGATTAAAAGATCCCTCGAGCGATATATCAACTAGAAGATCGCCTCCTTGTCGTATCAAATCTCTCCAATTTCTTATAAAATCCACATAATCACTTCCTGGTCGATCAAACAACGGGCCTTCGTGGAGTATCATATCTTTGATGAAAGCTCGTAATTTGGAGCTGCTGGTAGTGTTGCTGTAAACATATTCAGCTGTTGCAGCTGTAAGCCAATCCTCACAGCATCTGCTAAAGCTAAAGTGTATAGCCTCGTTAGCGAAACCAGGGCTTCGAAGCTTGTCTCCTAGGACCCATAAGACTGCTAGCTTAACCAAGCACGATATTGGAATCCGACCAGTGTATAACCAAGCGACGAATGCAGAGACGGCTTCAGGATTTTCTTCTTCCAGGTGGATCTCGCCAACTTCGTTTGATGTGAACGTGCCAAAGCAAGCAGCATCGAAATACTCCGATTTGAACCCCAGCAATGCTTTGTGGCAAGTGAATCGTTTGTGGTAAAAGCTTGAAGAAAGGAGTTCGGAGAATCATTCAATACTGTGAGGTTTTATCCCGTGGTGGGAGGGTTATGAGCGGCATGATAATACCTCCCCTTTCCACCCCCAAGAAAATCAGTTAAGAAAGACATTTGTAAATGACCCTACTTCTGAGTTTTTTGCATATACAGTAGTACCAAATCGGAGTTTGACTGTTTGAAACCTGCCTTGCCTTTTATTCCATCGTATGCAGATATATAGCCACCTGCACTCACCGCGGCTGAGAGGAAAATTTTTCTTTCGTGTATTTCTTGTCTATCGCAAGTGTATGTGTATGTGTATGTGTACTTTGACCATGTTTTTGTCTACCCATCTATTCAGCCTCCTTTTCCAAACCATGCTCATGCCCATGCCCATTCAACTCCCCCGCCTCCCTCTTACACCGTCCACACATACACCTCCCGCCCAAACTGCCAATCGCCCACTCCCTCCTCTCCTTGACAGGTAATTCTATATCGCAATAATGATTCAACACCTCCCCGCCCTTCTTAATGCCCCCACTCTCCCCTCTAATCCGTCGCTCCCGACACCAGAACCGCATCCGCGCCCCCCACTCCCAGCGCACGTTCGGGTCGCAGTCATGATTCGCAAGACACCACAGCGGATGCACAGCTGCGACTTCCGGATGTCCCGTCCGAGGATTCACGCGCGCGGAAGCCGTGCCGCGGAATTTCGCATACAGGGTGTTGAAACCCCACAAATCGTATGTGTCAAGGGACGTGAAGATGTCGATGTCCATTTTCTCGAGCATGTGCAGCGGGCCCGAGATATTGGAGTAGAAGGAGAAGGGTAGGGTCCAGGTGGGAGGTGGCTCGGCGTTGGGGGAGATCGGGATAGTGTTGGAGGCGCTGGGGAGGAAGTCGCCCCATATATACTTCACTTCTTTCAGCTCGAGGGGGTGGACTTGCTGTGTTGCAGCCATGGCTAACGCTCTTCCAATCAGTAGTAAGTACAGTGCAGACGGCTTCTCTTTTGGATCTGGGTCTTTGGCTATGGTGTCGATGTCTGTGTTGCATATTGCTGGATGGTAGGATTCCTGTGCCCGTTCTAGACAAGTGGTGTCGCAGAACATGATGTCGTCACAGTCGGGGCAGTCTACTACTTTGCTGTCTGCGGTTAAAGGTGGGAGGGTTGAGCTGCAGGCGTCGCAGAGGGATTCTTTGAGCAGGTTGTTGGTTGCAAGGAGGGAGATTTCATCGAGGACTTCTTCGCCTGGTTCGATATCCTCTTTTGCAAATAAACCCAGCTGTTTATTCGTGCTCTCCAGCTCTCCTATTCCTTCCAATAACGTAGGCAGCTCCGTGACCTTGACTTCGCATTTCGGGGCAACGGATTCTAGCTCTTTGTTCAGGAAATCCAGGGTTTCTTGCGAGAAGCGGTTTGGCTCGTGGGTGTTCCATGGATAGACCTCCCGCCGTACCAGCCCTTGGTCAGGCAGTTCACTAATATCCACTTCTTCATCCGAGGAGAGCTTCAGTCTCCGCCGTACCATGAGCTGTATGTATTCCTTTGCCTGCAAAAGATCTTCATCTTCAGACGCGGCGCCTAAACCCCTAATACAGAAATCATACGAGCTCTTCAGACAACCGCATAGCAGCAGACTAATCGCGAGCATGCGAAAACAGCGTATTGAAGCTATGCGCGCAATCCTTTTCAGCCGCTTTGTCTCATCGTCATCGTCCTCATCTTCGTGCCCGTCTTCGTCCTCACTCGCATCCCCATTTGCATTCGCGTTTGCATTCGCGGTTTGCCCCTCAGTAATAATCTCCAAACCGCCTACCCCGCGCTCAAGCTCCTCGCTGCCCCTCCCTCTCCCCCCCAACACAGCAGGCAACCCCGCAGCACAGCGCTCTCTCAACGCATCCAGCGCCAAGTCGTGATACTCAAACCCCGCATCCGAGCACTCGTCGCACAGCAGGAGTGCTCTATACGCATCGCCGGCTGCCAAATCGGGATACCCCAGCTCTGAATGCACGGCCGCGCGCTCCAGATACGCAATCAAATCGTAAGGCAGAGCACCACCTCCACTTCCATTTGCGCTTCCTTGTGCAATTCCAATTACACTTCCACCTCCTCCCAAGGCCCTCGTAAGCTCGTCCCGTTTCGAGAGCAAGGCAAGGGCAAGTGCCGAATCTTCTTCCGATGAGACTTCGCTGCCGCTGACACTGTCCATCGTGGCGCGCAGAGGGTATATAACATGGCGGAGGGTGTTAACATGTCTCAAGTGCTGAGAGCCTGTATTTACATTTTGCATGGCTAGATCTCGGTTGGGATGCATGTTTTTTTTTATGGCAAGGAAAGCAGCAGGCGCAGGACCGGAGGAAACGCTCCTATCCAATGAGAGGGTGCAGACGCCAGATGAACTTGACAGATGGGGGACTTGAAGGTAAGTTCCGAAACGTAACGGGCGTGCTGGCTGGAAAGGGAGGTGTTTTGGGGTCCTAAATTACGCCGTGGGGGAACTATGGATTTAGTTTGGTGGGAGTTTGACGTGTTCATGAATCTAGACCGTCGGAGAGGAAAATAATATTCCCTCTTATTTTCATTGGACTTATAGTCAACTTGAGTTACGTCACCGAGAAACGGGGCGGTTTCTTGTCCTATACAGTCTGTATGTACTGTATAACTTGGGGTTTTTTTTTTTAAAAAAAGATTTCAACTCTTCATTCGATATATGTAAATTGTTTGAACATTTGATATTACCAATGATTTCTACGTCCAGCTTGCAATTGGCCCGAGATTTCATAGTCACCAGAGTACCTTCGTATTGTGCCGGCGGTACTTGCAGCATACGATCGCGCTAGACACGCTATATGAGCTGTATGAGTTTTATAGTCCGGAAGATCGGCCGTAGTTCTTCTTTATTCGTTTGGTCTTGTCTATCTAGAAAACTGGCTATAACCCTTCCCAGTCTAATCATCTAAGGAGTTTGGGAATTTATAAAGCAATGTGACATGTTTATAAGAAGCCGATTTCACCAAATAGCATTTGTAAATGCTGTCTGCTATTCGACCTTCAGCCCTTCAAGTCACTTAACTTGTCTACATAGTAGGCCGGGACGACATTCGCTCCTTCGACTTCCCATTCTTCTTTCTTCGACACACCGGTTAGGACCGCGAGAGTTCCTCCAAGTTTGCCCTCGAGGCCAAATCGGATATCGGTATCCAGGCGATCTCCAATCATGCAGGCTGTCTTGCGATCAAACTGGAACTTCCCTTCTATCGAATCCATCATTGCTTGACTTGGCTTGCCCAGGGCTATAGGTCGCTCTCCTGTCATATTGATCAGCGGGATGGAGATGGAGCCTGCCCCTGGGAAGAATGTGTGATTCGATGGAAGGGTGCTGTCGGTATTCGTAGCCAAGAATTTTGCTCCTCGTGCTAGATATTGATATCCAATCGAGAGCTTCAGATAGTTGATATGGAAATCAAGACCTGCTAGTACAATGCCAACATTCTCGTCCAGCATGGATCCATCTGCAATTTTCGTGTAGTCTTCCGGAGTCATGTCCCTTCTGAACGCTGGATCTGTTCCTCCCACGAATTCTACTCCCTCGGATCTCAACTCAGTCTCAATGCCTGCTTCTCCAATAACATAGACCTTGTTCTTCGGCGCTGGGAGCTTCATAATGCGGGAGATGTAGATTGCGGATGAGTATGCCGATGCGAATATTTCGTCGATTTCACTCGGTATCCCCATGGAAGAGAGCTTTTTCTGGTAATCGGCGCGGGATTTTGTGGAGTTGTTCGTGACAAAAACAATCTTCTTGCCTGAGGAAAAGGTCAGCAATGTCTTTGGCTTGAGCAGGGCCAATGAGTAGATAGATACCTTTTGATCTCAACAACTCCAATGTCTCCACCGTTCCAGGGAAGAGATGATCACCAGACCATAATACGCCTACAGGAGACCTCAGCGAGGTTTAGGGAGGATCAAAGTCCCATACATACCATCGCAATCGAATAGAAAGATCTGAATCGCCAAGTCAGTAAACAGGGAATAGTATTGCTGGTACGATCCGGGACTGACTTAACGCACGTCGAATTTATTGATGAATTCGTCAATCGCAGACTGATCTCCTGAGAGATACTTGGGTTGTGGTGCCATGCTGAAAGTAATTGTTGCGTACTTGAGGCTTGAAGATTGTCAGAATTTTAAGAGCTGACTCGGAGAAGGTTGGATTTGACCCCTCGTTTCAACCCCTCCAAATCACGTCACGTGCGTAAGCGGGGGATCTTCACATATTCTGCTTGATACAGCAAGTGAAGTCAGCAAGAAACGACCAATCTCGGAAGTAGAGCCACAAATGACAATACAATAATGAGGAAATCCATCAGAAGATCGAGAATATCAATAGACAAGACATGAGATCCCACGCCTATGCCAAATCCAGCATGATCGCTTATTCAGGTGGCTACCTACATGTATCTACATAATTCTGTCCCAAAGTGCTTCCGCGCTGCAGAAAGAGGCTTGAGTTACCGGCTGAGTATCTGGAGATCCCGGTGGTACAGCATACTTATCACATGCAAAGTACGTCTCTTGTCTGCATGGCGATTTATCAGGATTGTGTAATAAACGACAAACGGCTTGATTGAGAAGGTAAGATGTCAAATGTTGCAGAAACGAAGGAATGGGGTCTCGATATGAATGGGATGAAAGGGAAGAAGGTTACGCAAGAAATACTCTTTGGAGATTGCAAGAAACCAGGGGCTTGAATACGGCAATACTTGTCTATAAAAGGCAGTTCCATGCCAAATTCTTACCAACTGCATGGTACACTATGCGGGGAACCTGTGAAACACATGTTCCTAGCTACATATCATATATACATGCAGTTCTCTAGCTGCTGTGCCGTAGATATAGATATAGATATAGATATAGATAGCAGTGTGGTTGATCAGCCTTGCCTTGTGGCACGTGAAATAGCTGCTTATATTATGTCAAACTCCCTGCATCAAGATCTCGATCTGTTTGTTTCTGTACAGTACCGTTTGTGGTTATCCATCCCATCTTCTTTGCCTCAGTTTAAGCTCTGCATTTAGACTTCTCTCTATCCACCAAGACGTCCACAATCAATCAGATAAACTCGTTAATTAATCAGCAGATTTAGAATCTAGACTCACTCACTAGAACGATCGTCTACCCGCTGCCGTTATCGATGTACGTTAAGGCTATTCCATCCTTTTACAGTATCGCTCGCATCGTCATTGCTCTTCCTCACTCTGCTTGACCCGCTTCAGTTTCGGCGTATGTCGCCCGATCTGGTGAACTCCATCCTTTTGGCTATCTTCAACCTTCATTTCTCTTCTACTCCACTCTTCTGGAATTGCCATTGATCTTCAACCTCTGCACCATTTGCCTTTCTGACGGTCCTTAAAGTTCAATACAGATTCTAGAGAGTTCAGTTACATTTATACTGTATCGATAGCGAATTACCCCACTACTCGTATCCGCCACAGAGAAAGTCTCACCCCTCCAACGAAATAAAATCCTCGTCGAATCCGATAACCACCATCCAATATGGCAAAGCAACCAAACCTCCTCGCATTCCCCAACACTGACGTCCTAGCGACAACCCTGCGCGCCTACATTGTACAGTCCCAAAACCAAGGCATCGCCCGCCACGACGCCTTCAAAGTCGCCGTATCTGGCGGCTCCCTCCCCAAGACCCTCGCGCAAGCGCTCCTCACACCTCCCAGCTCGCCCGACGATGCGATCAAATTCTCCAAATGGGAGATCTTCTTCGCCGACGAGCGCGCCGTGCCGCTCGACCACGCCGACTCCAACTACAGCCTGCTGAAGTCCGAGCTCCTGGACAAGATCCCCGCCGACATGGGCACACCCACCGTGCACACGATCGACGTCGCGCACCTCGACGACGTGCAGGAGATGGCAGACCAGTACGAGAAGCTGCTCGTGAGCAGCTTTGCGGCGCGCGATAGCGTCAAGCTTCCGATTTTCGACCTGCTGCTGCTAGGCTGTGGCCCGGACGGCCATACGTGCAGCTTGTTCCCTGGACACGAGCTTCTGCGCGAGAGCGACGCGTGGGTCGCGCCAATCGAGGATTCGCCAAAGCCGCCGGCCAAGCGCATCACGCTGACGCTGCCGGTGGTTACGCACGGTGTGCGCATTGCGTTTGTGGCTACGGGGGCGGGCAAGAAGGGGGTTATGAAGGAGATTTTCGAGACGGGGAATGGGCTGCCGTGTGCGTTGGTTAATGAGGCGGCGGGGGAGAGGTGCACTTGGTTTACAGATACTGCTGCGGTGGAGGGGGTTAGCTTTCCTAGAAGGGGAAGTCTTTGAATGAGCTGAGCCTGTGGGCTGGTATTGCGATAGGATGGGATAGATTAGAAAGGTGAACGTCGAGCGTGGGATCTGACTGATTATGGCATGGCAAGGCCTCATTTCTGCTTCTATCGCATCATTTCTTTGGAGTTTTTCGCCGAATGGGCGCTGGATGGTGTTTCAAAAGATTTTTGTGCCGAGACGGAGACAAGAGACATTTCAGCGCAGAATAAATTTCCTATGAGCAAGCAACATATCGCCGGCTAGGAATTCGAATCTTAAGATATCCAATTTTCAATATACCTGCTTTTCTGCATATTGTTCGTTCATCTAGAGTGCGTGCGTTACATTTCTTTTCATTCCTAAAGCTTGAAGGAACCAATGACTGTTATTATGTCTTTCATTCTCTCTAACATATCCCAAGTCGCCCGTCATACAGTAATAGAGCCAAAAATCCTGAAATAATGAATCCTATATAACCTTCCTTCCTTGCTTCACCTCGACAAATCATCTTTCCTTCCGAGGTATACTTTAGGTAGTTAATTACTTTTCAAGCAGCTGTTTGTAATTTAAATGATGCTGCGGTCTTCTTGCATGCTAAAGCCTGAGGTTGATGATGGGGATGGGGAAGTGGACGGGATTGCGGAGATTTGGGAATGTGATGTGATGAGATGTGATGTCGTTATGAGAACAGGTAGGTATGGGTGGAGGGTGGCATGGCGTGGCGCTTGATACTTGGTTTATTATCCGTGGTAGATGTAGGGAGTTGTTGGGGTTATTTGGCACATGAGGAGTTTAAGGGTTGGTTTTTGGTTTTGGCCGGGATATTGGGCTAAATGGACCTGGGTTAGTAAGGAGGCTATGCACACGAAGACATCTGAGCATGTAGTTAGACGGATGACTTTATATTCCAGGGACTTCGTGATATGCCGTTATGAATCTGGGGTATATGTAAAGCTCCAGATAGCTTTGCTTCCTCTACTCGTACACGACAAGCAGGCTCTAGTGAATCCTCTCTGCAAGAGAAAATCCATACCATATGGTAGCAATTAACGCCCCCAAGTTCACTAGAGACGAGACGCCATGCATCTTTCCAAAGGCCTTATTCAACTGCTGCATCTCCTTCGAATGCGGGGCAGGATCATAACTTTTCTTCCCATCCTTCGATTCTGCACCTCGTCAGTCCATGCCCACAGACTATCAATCAAGACGAGCAATAAACATACCTTGAATCTTCCTCTCCCTCATGATGTTCGTCGTGGCAGGCCCGACATACACCAGATTCACCAATCCGCCTACAAACATCGTAGCCAGCGGCGCAAGAACACTCCATCTATTCGACTCGGCGAGTGTGCCGGAGATACTTGAAGATGGGCCCAGTGGGTTGCGAGATCCGGGATATGTGAGGGCGAGGACGACGGGTAGGGCGGTTTGGATGCTGAAGTAGATGGGGAAGATCTTTTGTTGGAGTTGGGAGAATTGGGGCCGGGTGAGGGCTTTGAATGCTACGATTCCGCTAACGAAGGACTGCGGGGGGAAATGTGTTAATTGGAGTAATTTGTGAGGGGCAGATGTATGGTGTCAATCGATATGATGTCCATTGAGAAGGACTTACTTGAAAGAATTCGGTCCCGAGCAGAGTGCCATATCTGTGATACATTAGTTCGGCCTGGCGAATAGGTACTGTAGATGGGGGATTTCGTACGTGATGATATGGTACGGAGCTGGAGAGGAAAACAATGATAGATCAGGCATTTTGGGCAGGAAGTGGGAAATGTATGAAGAAAGTGAACCTTCAAAAGTGTAGACTATGAAGGAGGTGATTGGTTTGGTTACACTCAAGATAGAAGTGAAACGATGATGACGGCTTCACGATGCGGAGACGAGGACGAGTGGACCTCGGGTGGTGAGCACGTGATAGCGTGATTGTTTTATACCCCCTGCGCGTCTGCCTTGTCCAGCCTCTATCCTCGCGACGCAACACAGCTTCGATCTCATCCATCCAACACACGCTTCACCAACTACCGACAAAATGGCCGACAAGGAAGCCAATATCTACATCGTGGATGTAGGTGCATCTACTGCCGAATGCCACAACGGGCGGATAGAGAGTGACCTCGAGTATGGCATGAAATATGTCTGGGAGAAGATCGGACTCGCGTTGCAGGCAAACAGGAAAGGACTGGGCTTGGGTGTTATAGCTCTCCGTCATGATGAGACAAAAGTCGATCTGGAGGATGTAGAAGGCTACGAGAACATTGGTTGGTTGCCCTGGAGGAATTGGAGCTGCCTCTGTCCGTTTGCATTGGGGTTATGCTATCATTTGAGAAGCAACTTTCCCGTCTCCTGTCCTCCTATTAGGCATTTGGAGTGCTAACTTTGGAATAGCTGTGCTGAAAGACCTTGGACCAATCGAGATGAGCCATCTCAAGGATCTTCAGAAGAAAATTGTACCTAGCTCCACCGATTTTGGCGATGCATTGTCAGCGATGATTCTTGCAGTACATATGATCGAAAACTTTACGCAATTGAAGACAGGCAAACCGGGGAAATACAAGCAAAAGAGGGTTGTTCTTGTTACAAATGGTCAAGGACCTATGGATGGAAATGACCTCGATAGCCTCGCCGAGAAGGTGAACGAACTTGAGATTGAACTTATTGTTGTGTAGGTCTTAGAGTGCCTTCGAGTTCGGAATTCTAATAGTATCTAGGGGAATTGATTTTGACGACTTGGAATACGGCTTCAAAGAAGAGGATAAGCCGTCAAATAAGGTTTGAAATACCCCTTTGAGGTGTTTTGCACTGCTCACACAAGTCTAGAGACGCAATGAGAAGGTTCTCAAGGTGTTGGTCGAAAGTTGTAAAGGCGGCAAATTTGCTACGATGGCAGAAGTACTTGAGAGCTTTGCGGAACCCGAAGTAAAGGTTCCCCGGCCATATTGCAATTATCGTGGTAGACTCTCTCTTGGAGACTATAACAAGTATGCCGACACCGCTGCATACATCGATGTCGTAAGATATTTCAAGACACACCAAGCGAGACCTCCCGGCGCAAGCAGCTTCGTTAATAAGACGTCAGTCAGTAATGGAGAAGCAAGCGGTCAGGACACTGAAATGACAGATGCACCGGACCTCTCTGCGGTCAAAAATTCCACAACATACAAGATTTTTGACCCGTCTGCGCCTGGTGGAAAGAGGGATATCAACCGTGAGGAGCTTTCTAAAGCCTATTGCTATGGGAGTACTGCGGTTCCCATCAGCGCATCTGAAGAAAATGTTACAAAACTCGAGACAGTACAAAGTTTTGAGATCATTGGATTCATTCATAACGATAAGGTAATGTTGATGTACGCTTGACGTGGAAGATTGGCTAACTCGGTCAAGTATGACCGATATCTCAATATGGGGGAATGCAACATTACTGTTGCTCAGAATGTAAATGACAAGGCTAAAATGGCCCTCTCATCTCTTATCCACGCCCTCCACGAGTTAGATTCTTACGCAGTTGCCAGAATCGTGACTAAAGATGGAAAGGATCCTCAACTCCTTGTGATGGCACCTTCCTTCGAAAATGGCGTGGAGGCTTTGCTCGATGTACCACTTCCATTTGCTGAAGATGTGCGCACTCACAGTTTCCCGCCTTTGGATCGTGTCATTACTATTTCTGGAGCAACAATGAAGAAGCATAGAAACCTACCCAATGAGGATTTAGTCAAGTCTATGAGCGACTATGTAGACTCTATGGACCTTTCTACATTTGGCACTGATGAAAATGGGTATGCGAATACTTCTAACAGTGAAGGCATTTGACTGATGTTTTGTAGCCAGCCTACAGAATACATGACCATCGAGGAGACCTATATGCCAGGACTTCATCGAATCAACCAGGCAATACGTACACGCGCAGTCCAACCAGACAAGCCGATTGAAGACCCGCCTGAGGTCTTGGTAAAGTGGTCACACCCTCCTTCTGAATTGGCCAAAAAATCAGCCCCGAAACTACAGAAGCTCGTCGAAGCAGCAGATGTCAAGAAAGGTAACTTCACACTCCAGTACCGTCACCCCAGACACATCTTCTGACTCTATCCCAGTTGCAGATAAAGTCCGAGGCAAGCGTACCCGCGACCAAATCAAACCCCTCTCCGGCCTGGACGTCAACTCTCTTCTCAACAGCCAAAAGCCGCGCGCTGCCCGGAAAATTACCATGGCGAACTCGATCCCAGATTTCAAACAACTGCTAGAAGCCACGGTCTCGAGCAGCGAAATCCTCGAGCTCGTAACGCAGATGGCTGAGGTCATCTACAAGATGGTAGCCAACACCCTAACAGACGGCTCCTTCGACATAGTGACGGCGAATATGAGGGTCCTGAGAAGCCAGATGATGGATTTGGAGATGCCCGAGATCTACAACGATTTCATCCGTGCTTTCAAGCAGAAGCTGATCGCGGGTGAGCTGTTTGAGAACAATTTTGCTTCGAATGAGAGGGAGTTGTGGTTCCGGGTTAAGAGCAAGAGGTTGGGCTTGATTGATAAAGAGGTGTCTGAGCACTCTGATATTTCGAAGGAAGAGGCTGCACAAGTGAGTACCGTATTTGTGTTTATGGCAAGCATCCTATTACTGATCATGGGGTAGTTTTACGTGTTGAGCACGGAATTGCCATCTCGTGCTAAATGAGGACTGGTATTACGGCTGGGGGTTCATGGAGGGAGGCATTTGTAGGGATTACATGCATGGCGTTGTTTGGGTATGATTGCTAAAGTAGGTAAGTATGAAAAGCTAACGAACCTCCGGCATTGCTAGCCGTGGCTGGCTCAGAGCAGTTCATCTCATATCCATGGAATAAATAAAACACATGAAATGACCAACACTAATCTGGTCCATATTCATATTCATATCTAATTAACGAAATTTACATCTTACATATATTTACCCTGCCATCATAACCGGCCGTTGCGGTATGTATCCCGTATCCAACTCCAAGAGGTGACCTATAATTCCTTCAAGGTAGAGGTGACTTCATATCACCCTTCAGCAAAGTTGTCTTTATGTCCAGGCAGTGGATGGTTCTATTCTTTCTATTCTAAAAGACAGGGCTCGCAAAATACAAACTGAATTACCCGCCATTGATTGGATAAATGATGTTAGCAAGTACGGCTTCCGTTCATATTAAAATAGACATGTGTTGGAAAGATCAAGGTCAACGAAGTCGCCAAGTTGACCGGCCTAATCAGTCCTCGGCCAATTGCCGTGTACTCTGTGGAACATGTACGGAGTAATTCGTAAAACAACATGAGCATAATAGCTTCGTGTTGCTCTGACAAGCTGAGAATCCTAATGTCATTTCAAAAGCGGCTTCGATGGATTGCCTCTGTCACGTCGTTGATATTTTGTCATGTTGGATGAAGTAAGTGTCAACTCACGTACCGAACGGGCTCGAAGACCATCCATGGCAATGATGAAGTACTGGAAACATGTACTTAACAGGTAACGTGTTGTATAATTCCAGTCCTTATGCTAATGATGACAGATCGGGTCGTGTTTTAGAGTAGTAAGGATGTAGAAGACCAGTTGTAAAGGAGGGGGAAAGTGAAATTACCTAGCGAGTTCGCTTATTAGCGCCCTCCATCTCAGAAAAGGGGGAAAAGAGTGGCCGAGAAAACACGCAAAGTTGCCTCTGCTGGGTATGACTGCTTTAGGTAGCTAAATACAAACCGGGGATTTTCTGTTCGTTTGATGACTTATTATCATGGTCGCCATACAGTGAAAAAAGTGTAACGTCACGTCACTGATCTTCAAGTTCTACCCAAAGTGCTGGGATTTCTCCCGCCCACTTTTGGAATACCATAAGATCTAGGAGCTGAGAGGAGCATGTATGATTATGACTTCTTAATTCCAGGTATTTGCTAAACTTTGACCGCGCCCAAAGTCAGCCAATGGTACATGACTGAGAAGTGGCTCCTTCTCAACTTCCAGTTTCCAGGTACGCGCCTTCCCTTCACACACCCACCAGCATAACCTCTTATCTGTCCAACGTACCTCGCAGACTTCAATCCCAGATTGTTCACAACAATCAATCAACATTTGATTATCGCCTGTCATTCTTAACGAAGTATTGGTCTCCCACTTGCAAATTCTCCATGCTCACACTAAGACCCGAAGACCCGAGCATTGATAGCAACTTGAAGTTTGCCCAAGACACGACCCGGGGAGGAATTGAAGGCTCTTCCGAAGCGACTCGAGAGGTTTGTGCGCTGGTAACATATCTACTATGTCTTCTCCTCCAACTCCCTTAGAACCCATTCAAAAAGCCTACCACAAGACCAGTGAGTCCGTACCTCCCATTCCCTTTTCACCAGGATTAAACGGTGTAATAGCACAAGATGGATATATACCCAGCAATATCTCTTTGGTCCCGATTGCGGTTGCGACTCCGATCGTAACGCAACCGTTTGCAAGCAATACTTCTGAAAGAACCACGCAAGAGCCCAACATCCAACGCGAAGAGATCCGACGGGAACCAAATTTGGAAGATATCGACATGAGTGATGATTCTGGAGACGTGGTCGATGGTACCGAAGCCAATGGTCTCGAGTACGATGATCCCAAGTTTTGGCCTCCGCACCTCCCTGACTATTTCCCGGAGTCCGCGTTTGATAGACAAAAGATTTGCGCGTGTAATACACAAAAGGAGAGGAGAGACGCCCTTTCACACAGCCAGAAGCAAACAAGCGGCGTTCTTACACGGGAAAGGCTTTCAACTGCCCAGCTCCCTAAGGTTCAAGGCAAAAGGAAGCGAACAAAGACAGTCTCGGCTGATTCTTCAGCATCGCGTACTAAAAGCAAAAATCCGAAGCTGAATTGCAGGTCAAAAGAGGAGTCAATGCCGGGGTCTCATGCTGCCTCGGAGGAAGTCACCATGATAGAAGCTCCGACCACGATCCGGTGTATCTACTGCGGTAAAAATACCCATCTGAGTCGCAACTGCCCATACCGGCTCTTTGGAACTTATTGAGGAGATGAATGGTCGACTTTGAATCCGATTTGTTTTGAAAGAAGGTACGCTGGGGTCTGAAAGTCTGTGACACTTTATCATTGTAGGGCTGAACAAGCACAAATCACAATGGTTTCATTGATTAGGGGGATGCATATATAGACTGTGGAATTTGAACGGGTTTTCACTCAACTAGAGATTCGTCAACAGTATAGCCCTTTTCAGGTGAGCCATGTGGGTTGGATGTCTAGAATGGCTTTTTCTGAAAAACGAGATCCACCATGGGATCGTTCTTACCTTATTAGGATCCGCCCAGGCTATGACGCCGTCTATTCAATGAGACCTCTCTGCTCTTGTATATTTATATATCACTGTTGCTTTATTTTAGCTGAAGAAGTCCCAAGGGAAGCTGTGTGGTATGCCCAGTCGATTTCTCTACTTGTGTATGCTAGACTCCAGCCCCTTTCTACCCCAGAGTATTTCCCAGCCCATTCCTCCAACCATTCCTTGACTAGATCATCTGGCATGGGGTCAAGGCTAGCATACGAGGCTCGCTCTGATCATCCACCCCGTTACTTCTTGTTCCTCCGACAATCATAGCGTCCTAGCCTTGTACGTAGACTGCTAGCTACGTTTCCAGCTCTGTGTGTGATTCTTTATGCTCGCAAAAAGGGGGTATAGTGGAAGCTATAGCAATATGCATAGCTTGTAGGAGGTATGCTACTCAAGGGCAGGTTCGCGAGAGGAGAGTTTTTGGCTGGAGATTGTGCTGGGCGTTTGCATTTGCCTTTGACTTGTGTGATGCGGTACTGAGACGAGAAGGGGTGACCTAGAGACGAACTCTTCCTCTACGCTTCGAGCTCTGCGCATGATTCTTTATGCTGGCTCGTGAAAAGGGGCAGTGGTGGAAGCTCTGGCTGTAGGTGTGACTTGTGGGGAATATGCTGCTCAAATAGTAGGTTCGCGAGAGAGGGTTCAGAGCTGTATCGGCTGGAGATGGTGGTGTGCGTTTGCATTTCCCTTGGGCTGTGTGACGCCAGGATGGGGCGAAAGGGGGTGCGCAATCATCTTGGAGAGAGCCGAGGAAAATGATGGAGGAGTGGGTATGGACCGTCGTTTCTGGGCATAAACGCTGGTGGTGAGAGTAGAGGAGAGGGAAGATGGCGGGAGTGATTCTTTGCGTGGATCTGCGATAGGGGGCTTCGAAAGGAGGTGTAGAGCTGTTGTCGTCTGGCCTTGACTTCTTTGGGGATGTATAGAGTAATCACAAAGACTAGAGAGGGAGATCGGGGGAGTGGTTCTTTGCGTGATTCTATGATATGGGTGGTTTGAAGCGTCTGAAAGGAGGCGCAGAGCTGTTATCATCTGCTCGTCCGGTTTCCACCTCTTCGGGGAGAAAGGCAGAACTCACAAAGACTGGAGGGTCTGCATACCAATTAGCTATCATTCACGTCATCCTGGCTGCATTAAAGGGGGCAATCATTCCTGATGGCGCGGGTTCTGGAGACCTTTGTTGGGTCGCCGTTTGGCTCAGGGAGCGTGAATAGCATTAAGATTGTTAATGTGGATACCGGTACAAGGGGGTCTGATTCAAGGAAGCCAAAGGATAGAAATACACATGCTGAATGGTAGATTAATGGGAAGTTGGGTAGAAATTGGTTATTCAGAGTAATATGGAGGCTTTGTAGATAGGAGAGGGGGCTCTCAGTCAGCCCGTGCAACAGCTAGGTGGCCGGTGTCACCGATTCTAAGTATAAAGTCCCCTCTCTTCAACAAATATCCCAAGTCCTTCAAAAGAACATCCAACACACAAAGCACACAAAGCACGCCAAACACACCAAACACACCAAACCAGAATCTCTACGACATGTCTTCATACATCAGCGTTCTTCATCAAATGGGGCTCGATGCCGTCAAGCAAGCGATCGAGCAGTATTGGTACTCGTTATACAACTTCGACGAAGAATACAATGATGGGATGGCGAATACTGGAGGAACGGGATCAGGGTTCGATGAGTCCGAGATCGTGGCTGCTGTGGTTGAGATCCTGGAGGCCATGGGAGTTCCTGGAAAGACGAAGAAGATATTGCGCCGATGTAAGGTTCGCGTAAAGAAGGTCTTCAGGTCCATTGCTACCGTATTCAAGTTAGTTACAGCCCTTAAGCCTTCCATGATAATCAAAGTTCCCTGGACTGACGCAAGACCTAGGAAATTGGCTTAGAGCATCGAGAGGGAGGGACAATGAGTGGGAAAGCAAACACGGCAGCAGTACTCGCGGAAGCAAATGGAGGTGGAGATCGGCAGATACGGACGCTCCTTCACACTATGACAAGTAGTAGAACTTAGTTTCTATCATTCCTTTGAAATACAAATGCTTTCCCCAAATCGCTCTTTCCCACGCAAATACCGTTCTTATTTTACCGTGAAACAATGCCTATGTGCTATATAATGATGCATAACTGCCTGCAAGTAGACATTACACCTTCACTGCCACTTCCTAAAGGCTCTTTTTACACCGAAGGATAATAGCTTTATCTTTAAGTTAAGAACCTTCCTATAAACAAGTTCCGTAGGCCCTGAACACTGTAGGCTGATCGACTCTGCATTGCTCGACACCGCTAAGGCACACTAGCGCTTCAGGGGACGTATCCGCGATCGCTTACGTCGAGGAGAGCGCACACTC